ATCCTAGCCAGGTGTTCTGGCGCGCATTAGAGGGATGGCCTATCTCGCCCTCCGATCTTCTTGATACCGGGCCCGGGTGGGTGAGAGAAGAGAGTGAGTGCGGTAGATGTTGCGCAAGTCACTTAGAACTAATCCACGCGCAAGTCACCGTCCCTGCACCATCCTGTTTTGTTGGCGCATACGATGGACATCATCGAAATCGACGGTCTAACCGTCATCTCTCACGCGACTGTCAACTGGATTCAACCTACTTTACATTAATTCTGTACAGAATATAATGCTCTGGTTACTGGCGTATAACGTCTCCTCTTCCTACTCGGAACCTGGCTTGAAGGTCATAGTGAATTAGGGTCCGCTTATAGCTTCAGCTCTCGCTACAAATATGTGATTTCATTCCACCCGGCAACAAACAGTTGGATTTTGTGGATTCTAGACTTTCGATTCTGCCTTAAGAAATCATCTGCAGAAAGTATTGACAGTAAAGAGTTCACAAAAACGTTTATCTGAATATGACTCAGAGAAAATTTATTTAGTGTTCTTTAGAATTTTAAGCCTATGATAAAAACAGTTATCGACCGCTCGTACATGCCAGAAAAAAGATGTTTTGGGCTAGTTTCAGCAGCGCATTTATCGGCTTAAATAAATGAAGTTTAAGAGACATCAGCCTTTAATTTTCGTACTTTATACTTAACCACATTTTTGGGATATTTATTTCACACTTCATTTTGATTAATTTGCTGCAATACAACTCTGCACAGCTGGTATTTCCACTTAGCTTACGCACATTCTTACAGCTTCTGTGTATGGTTCGACAAAGTTGCTAGAGTATGCACGAAAGTCGCGGCAGTAGACTCGTTTAGATTTCTTGTCCAGGATCGTGCTGCACTTTGTGTCCGCAAGTTCAAACACGCTGAAACACAGGCCTGAGGAGCCCCCTACCGCCCACATCAAGGGGTCTTTCAGGCAGTTACTATTGCACTCTCTTGAGTCAGAGTGCGCAGACTTTAAAAATAATTGGGCCGTGCAACACCAAACACAACCTAAGGACTCTCCGCTTTAACAAGGGAACTCTGTCGTAGTTTACAGGGGCAAACTGGTGGGGTGGTGACGATTGCTGAGAATCAAAAGAACTCGGCAGGAACGCTTTCGGCAAACGCCAAGAAGCGGCAAACAAGTTGCTGCATATATCAGAGTAAATGGCCGCATCTTTGAGTTGCATACAAAAACGAAAAGGTCAGCCGAAGCGTCCTGGGAACCGAAGGACTTGGTCTTGTTCCCCTTTATAAGTTTATGTGTTAGGCTACAAATGTTACCAACTTAAAATATATGTCCAGTGGTCGCCATCACCAGAGTGGGATGTGACTGTCTTCATTTTTTCAGCCTGTTTACAGCTCCTAATTTCCTGTGTTTCAAAGTTCGCGTCTACATTTCTTCGCTTTGTTGGCGTATCTAAAGCAGCTAATGGAGTGAAAGTGCCCCTTTTCATATTTCATCTCCCGAAAACAGCTATATGTCAATTTCATGTACCCCGCCTAGACAACACCTATTACTATCATTCACTAATTATAGGAATTCTTGGATTTTGTTTGCTGAGTGGGGTCACGTTTCCAATCGTTGTTCCCGCAGGAACTCAGAAACCTTAGAAAATAGAGGAATTGGAAGGGGGACTCGTAATACTTGCAACCGCATGAGCACCGTACGCGGACAAACTGGCTTCACACAGCAGTGCAGTGGTTACGGATGGGGCGTAGATTTAAGCGTAACAAAAGGCTGTCAAGCTGGTCAATGTACATTGATCTATAAGTGCCAAAGTGACTTTCTGTACGTTTGGCCAATGTTAAATGTAATGCGAATCTAGAGCTCCGGTAAAAGTATCACGACAGAAGATTTAGTGGTCACGACCTTGGATTAATGCGCATCAAAGGCTACGGCAATGCTCAAAATCTTGAAGCAATATAAGGTGCACGAGTAGAAAAAGGTCAGCGGGGTGGAGGAGTTTAGAAAATTCAAAACTGAGAAGTGTACAAGTAGAAACTCAGAATTTCGTCAAAATTGGATGTGCGAATTCGTAGAAATGTCCATGGAGCAAGAACCAATGGGTACGCACATGTTTCATGGCACGGTCACTACCCAAATACGACTCTCCGTCTTTTGATCAATAATTACATTTTTGAGCAAATGCCAGCAATGGAATGGAATCAAAAGCAAAAATACACGTAAAAATAATGTCCACAATGTAGCTGTGCTCAGATAAAGACGGGCATGCGTATTAAAATCGGAACAAGTGTCCAATACACTCAATGAGGGGCAAAACAGCAGTTCTCAATGTAGGTAACATTGCCGGCAAGGGCAAAAGGACCTGGAATGGCCATCAGCCGTCATCAACCAGCACACCCAACCCCAAGTTGTACCCCACCCGGGACTCGAACCAAAGACCTTTTGACTAGAAGTCTAACACTCGACCCATTGAACCCCGGGTGGGGTACCACTTGGGACTAAGTACAACTAGCTGATGACGGCTAACGAGACAGAAATGGCCATTCCAGTCTCCCTGGTCTTTGCCGCCAGTGTTTTCTGCTTAGATTACTAGCTGCTGTGCGGCTGCTGGCGCGGCTCGAGAATGAGCCCCAAGGCAAAGCCGGACAAATGAGTTCCGTGAACGATCGATAAACTTTAATCAACGAGTGGCATTTTCTCTAGGTATATCGATTAAGTATGCTCTGACTGTCGAAGTAATCGTACCGTTGAAACAACTGGGACTTGAGCTGAAATTCTACTTACCTGACAATGGGTGCAAGCTGAAGAGCATGCAGAACGATTCGAATGGTCCAAGCCTTAGTGGATCGCGGAGGGTCAACGGAAGCTCGTTTGTCTAGCAGATACCATGCAAGACTGAAACTGGTCATCACCAGGGCGGGCAGGATCATTAGCGAAAGTGTGAGGACAGACCAGTAGATGTCGCCCTGCAAAGTATGAACAGAAGTCATTGAATCAAAATGAAAACGAGACTGATATCTGCAAACCAACTCGAAGAAGCGGTGGAACAAATTGCACTCTGAGATACAAAGATTTGTAGTCAGAGTCCCTGAATGCTAGACTACGTGCGTTGAAAATGAATGAAAACTGGAGGTACTTGATCACCACTGTTTGAGGATCACCCTTCGAGTGAAATACACCGACTTCGGTTCAAATGAGGTGATTCGCACTCGCTGCGACAACATCATAAAGATATCCCAGGCCATCCCAGAAAGACGATTGAAGTTGTTTTGATAAGTTTTTCGCCGTCCACCTAAGGAGCGCAGTGTTACTGCCCTCGGTCGAGCCCCGTTACGCAATTTGAGACATCGAAGAGGGGTCAGCTCAAAACTTACATCGACACACTTCGTCAGGACATGGAAGTTGTTCTTGGATCTTCAGTATTCGGCCTCCGTCGTTAGCGAAGAGAATTCATTGAACTGTCCAGGTCTGCTGCCGCGGATCATCACGTGTGGAGATATACAATCCGCGACATTACCGAGGCCGGCTAGATTAGGCATGATCGCATCCGTAAGAAGTTAAAGTTCGAAGTTCTCAACGTTCTAATCAGGCAAAAGTGTAATACACACATGCCTTAACACCTACAGCAGCTGGGGGAAATTTTGGCAGACGCGGATGCCCCATTTAAACTAGAAATTCCCTCTGTGACGAAACATTGATGAAAACTAGCGCAACCGTTAAAAGAACTTCCTCCAATTTCGGTGTCTTGCAGACAGCGCATATTAGCGGTCACAAAAGAAACAGCCTGCTTGACACCAAAAATAAGCCCGGAGGAGTAGTTCATTTGGTAACACAGCAAATCACTATCCGGTGCGTTCAAGGATGGCAAATGGTGAAATGCTCGGGTGTGTTTGGACAAACCCATTCAACACAGAGCGTCAAGGCCTGCCATGACGATTTCAAATTCGTTCATCACATTAGGCGAGGTGAGTCTTTGTTTAGACTAACGTTTCGGAGGTAGGACCACTTGGCCGCTTGGAGTTACAAATTTATGGTCGTGGGGGTTTGCCCATTCGGAAGCGGTCGCTAGGGCCACTTTTTCAGAGCGAGTACTTGTTACAGAGAGCGCCCATAGGCGAGAACAAGCTAAATCCTCGTGGGAGAGCATGCACGCTGTCTGAAAGGTGAACGCTAACGCCCAATCAGAAGTCAGTGTGGAGCTATCGACCACGTGGGCATACCCCAGGCAGCCAATCAGGAGTTGGGATACTATACCGGAGGCCTGGACGCGCCTCGCACGTGTGGATTCGGCGCGCTGAAGCATGTGCGACGAGGGGAATAAAAGAAGCCCAATGGTAAGCCAGGACTTGACTCAAGTTTAGGTTCTCTTATGCTGGAACATTGTATGTAGTAAGAAGGGTGGCAACAAATGCAAATTTCACGGTCCCTACCTCATCTTAGATTCCCTAGCATCTACGGTCTGGGTACGGGAAGGTTATGGGCTGATGTCCAAGGTCACGTTAAGACAGTAATGGCGCTGCTTGTTACTCTGCGTTGTTGACAAATTCAGGTCCAAATTTGCATTCTGTGGTTTTGTAGATTGTGTGGTTGAGTGGTGAACACTCGTGTCGATGCTGAGTATTACCCTTTGAAATCCTCGGCAGAAGGTATACGATGTGATACTTGTGCCAGCAATGTCTTCTATTCTTACGAGACTCTCCATGGGTGGTGGTTTATTGTGCAACGCTCGGATGCAACAGACTCATGACTGCGTGCTTCGATTACAAACTTTTCAGGTACTCCACTTTCCCGCACACCCAATCGTATCCCCCCTAGCTTGGTTTCTCCTGGGGGTTTCTTCGCGCCAACAGTAGCTGGACCCTCTCAATCACGTCACAATAAATTAAAAAAAAAAACACTGCAGTCGATGCTAACCGTCCGCTGATATTTGGGAGGAAGTAGACACTCAGTTTTTGTCTTCTGTCAAAGATAGGAGAGTGCGGTTCAGGGTTATCCTCCACATTCCGCACCTCAGCAAAACCAATCGGAACGTTTACGTCATAGATGGCCGGTTTGCCAAAGGTCTGGCTGCATTCGAATTCACAGGAGGGTTGGAGTTTTTTCAAGCGGAATGCTTGCACAGATCACTAGCCTTCTGCCTTGCCAACCGGATCGCTTTGAATCCTAATTCTCCGATCGCACAGGAAGGTAGCTGAGTCGTGCTACGGTGACAGTAGCTTCAGGCAAAGAGAGTTCTGGAAGAGCATGATTTTCGATCTACCTTGTCCCCTGTACGTCGGCTTATCGTTTCAGCACACCACAGTACTTGCATTTGTTCTTGTCGCTTTCTTTGGCCCTCGGCAAGTCGAATCGAAGCGAGCGAAAGGGAGTTATCCTGTCCGCCAAAACACGGCTGAGCCATGGCTTGCCGAGCAGTGATTTCGTGCTGCAGTTTGACATAGACATACATTCCTTTAGGCAGAAGAACATTACCGACAAAGACAAGGGAGACTAGGATGACCATTTCTGACTTAGTAGCCGACGTCAGCGAGTCAGACCCAAATCAATTGTTGCCCCACTGCAGTGTCGAACTCTAGGCTTTATTAGTTATAAGTCTAACGCTTTAACCACCACGCCAAGGGCTCGCTGTCTTGTCGCTTTTTGATCGTGAATATACAGTGGCAGATAGGCGTACACCGATCAGTTAAAGAACATACTTGTCCGTTCATGGTGCCTTTGGAGCTCACACTCGAGCCTACGCCGCAAGGTGGCTCTCAAATATGTTGTTTGGTGTACAACTGAGGAAGCCGTCCGATCAAAGGCAAAGGGATCATTCTTGCTTTCCCACATTTTTATACAGAGTTACATATCAGTAGGTGTATATGACAGGAATGACCCTTCCTGTCGCCCTTGTGTTTGTCGGTTCCACTTCATCATATATGATAAATTGCTATGTTCCTACCTGCGAGGGCTCTAGGTCGAGCTCCCAGGCACAACGGCACGAGCATGTTCGCTAACCAGACTGGATGGTAGAGTTTGGGTGTAGATTTATAGAGAACACTCTCAGGCTTATTTATTTTCATTCGGCCAGACAAAATCTTCACTACCAACTGGGACCGGAAATATGAACATGCGCGCACACACATAACGCAGATGGCCCACCACTAGAGTCTACCAGAGGGGCCATGGGCACCGCATTGGACCGAAACTCATCAACGCTTCACCACCTGCAAAGAACTAGCACTTCTTAGATGTGCAACTCTTGAGGACTTTCACGAACAACTCGTGCTCGTGATGAAACTCGCATGTTTTGGTTTCGCTAAAAACTGGCTACTGAAATAATAACAGTACACTGAATAAAAATGATTCACATAAATGTTTGACAGATGACTCGCCTGCTTATAGTAGGTGATCGTCAAATAGGCGTCGGATATGATATCGCCCAGGTAGCTCACCACGGATACAGCAAAGAGACATAAGTGATACCAGCGGAAG